AGACCTTTGCTTTATTTTTGTATCAACTGCCATCATGTTTTGTAATTTGGGCTCTTGATTTCACCATTGTCGGTGAAGAAGATTTTCAATAAATATGCATTACCTGTATGAAGTTAATAAGAATGGTATAACGGGCTCTTTTCCTACCTGCCTCATTTCTCTTTGATGACATTCTGGATTGGGTTCTGAATGAGCCTGTTCAATAATAATATTTTTAGAGGTGTAATTCATATACCATAACATTGTGCATTTGAAGAGTATACAGTTCAGTGGTTTTCAGCACAGGTTTTCACAGGTTGTGAAACGTTCCCTACTGTAATTCCAGACTGCTCTTCACCCACAACCAAGCATGGTAGCTAATCTGCCTCTGTGCCCTCCCCACAGTCCTGGCAAGCAGTCAAGAGTTGTTGCTCTGGACACACCTACCCTGGACGTCCTGTATGCCTGATCACGCAGTGCCCGCCCTCCGCCCTGGCCTCTCCTTGGGCATGTGTTCAAGACTCGCCATGTTGTGTGTGCCCGGCTTGTTGCAGCCACGTGTGCGATGCTCCATTGTCTGGCTGGGCCACGTTTTGTTCATCCATTCCTCAGTCAATGGGTTTCAGCCAGGTGCACACTCTGGCTGTTGGGAAGTGTTGTGGTGGGAACACATGTACAAATGTTTGTGTAGGCAGAGGCGTGCCTTTCTGTGGGGTCTGTACCAAGGCGTAAAATCCTGACAGCTGTGTGTGCAACCTCTTGTGGAAGTGCCAAACTTTTCCAGAGTAGCTGCAGCACTGAGCATTCCCAGCAGTAGAGTGGGAGGGTTCCAGTTTCTCCTCATCCTTGAGAATACTTGTTACTATCCATTTTCTTGATTCTAGTCAGCTTAGGGGGTGAGAAGTGGCATCTCGTGGCATTGCTACTTCTCCCTGAAGGCTCATGATGTTGTGCATCTGTTCATGTGCTTGTTGACCACCCGCATATCTTCATATGGCAAAATGTCCAGAGGCTTTGCCTGTTTTGTAATTAGGTGATCTTTGATGACTAAGAGAATCCTTTACAAGTTGCAGATGCAGGTATCCTGCCAGTACTTTTTTCATTCCATTAAGTTATCTTTGCATTTTCTTTACAGTATCCTTTGAGTCGTGAGTCTTTGAATTTGGTGAAACTGGGCTAACCCGAGATACCCAGGTCATTTTGAACCCCCACATGACTGGTCTGTGTTCCTTCTGCCAGTTGGCCAAACATTGGCCTTCACGTTGCAGGTGAGGAGGACTGAGTGGGGAGGAGGGAGAGGCTTCATCTATAATCCAGGTTCCTGGTGGCTGCAGGAGAGGGAGGCAGAGGGGGGGAGAGACTGCGCGTGGGCACAAGGCCACCGTGGAGGCAGTGAGGGATTTCTGGTTCGGTGGTGCTGGCTGCACCGCATAGGGACTGCTGAGTGCTGCTGAACTGCCTGTTTTAAACGGCTCTTACCTGAATCGCACCATGAAGAAACATGTCCCCTGACAATTCCTGACAACTGGCAGGGCTGGAGCCTGAGACTCGATCCTTCAGATGCCAGAGTCAACCAGGACCCGGCCGACACCCACGCCTGCAGGGTAAGGGCAGTGCATGGCCCGCTAGCCCTCCGCCCCATGACGCCTCCTGTCTGCCATGGAGCCCTCCCTGGAGCTTTAGCTTCAGGATGCCATGGGGGGGAAGAAGTTCCACACTTCCTCTCACTGCCAGAGTGCATGCTCCTTCCCCTCACCCAGGATGTGGGCTCCAGCAAAGCTCTGGGCACTGGCCCTTGGCTAGAAGAAGGACACAGCATGTGGCCTGGCCCTTGCTTTGGGTACGTTTCCCCTGAAGGCTTAGCCTTTGCTCTGTATAAGATCCCGCCTTTGGGCTCACCTTAAGAACTCAGGACGCCAGGCCCGTTGTTTCGTATTGCCCATACATTCTCTGACAGTTCTTGAGGTTGGAAAGCACTCTCCCCAGGTCCAAGGCAGGTGTGGGCAGGGCTTGTTCCTCTGGAGACTTTGGGAGAGAATCCCTTCCCTGCCTTTTCCACTTTCTCAAACCACCCTCATTCCTTGATCTATGACCACTTCTCCCACCTTCCAGCTTCTGTTTTGGAGGCCACATCAGTTCCTTCTCCCTGGTCTCTCCCCCTTCCTGTGATAAGGACACTGATGACATTGGTCCCTCATATATTCAGGACACTCCCATCCCAAGATCCTCAGTCTCACTGGTAGATGTTCTTTTTTTTTTTTTTTAAATATTTATTTGTGCATACAGAACTGGGGTACAGGTCAGAGATTCAGGGGTGGCGAAAGACTTCACCAGAGACAGAGTGGGGAGCAGAACAGGCAGATCAACGAAGCACACTGCTGAGGGGAGCAGCGGGTGGGTCAGGAGAGGTCTGCCACGCCATGTGGGTCACCTCTGGGGCAGACGGGGATCGAACTCGTGCTGCAGTGGTTTCAGCTTCTTATTGCAGTGCTTTAACCCACTGCGCCACCAGGGAGGGCCTGGAAGATGTCCTTTTTAACCTGTTAGTTTCTCTGTGTCTGGAACCAGGGTGACGACACTTTAAGGGCCATCTTCCAGCTGACACTTTGGGTCTCTGCCCCTTAGCTGTCAGGGGCCTGTTCCCTGCAGGGGGCTGTTCCCTGGCCACCTTGAGCGTCCATGAGCTCCTGTCCTCTGAAGACTGCAGAGAAGAAAGGGAGGTTCAGGGACATATGGTGGAGATGGTGACCCCAGGAACATCTGGCCTGTCAGCAGCGCTGGAACGTTATGGACAATTTAGCTCCGGAGCTTCCACCCTAAGGCAACTTCATCTGAAGACTGGCATTGACAGTGTGTGGCCCTAGGGTATCCTTGGGGTACACAAGGTTCAGAACACTGTTGTAGAAGCTTAGACTCCGACTGCTTAGACGCTTAGATGAGCCCTGGAGGCATCTCCCCGGAAGTTCCTAACTGGTGGGTGACCATGGCTCCCTGAATGAAGGAAGAAAGGGTCCTTGGGAATAGCCTTGGTGCCAGGAGCTCACCTGGTAGGGAGAGACGGGAGAAGGCTCTGAGTGTGCGGGGCAGTGAGTGCCCTGCTGCTTCCGCCTGGGTCCCCGTGTTCCTCCTCACTGTGTCCCTCGGCAGTGCCTCCCAAGCTGGGGCCCTCCCTGCAGGGGCCTCCAGTGGGAAAGGTCAGCAGAATGTGGACATCAAAGGCCTGCGACTTAAGAGGCTTTCCCAGAGTGGAATCTCACAGTCCAGTGGCCAATTTCGAAGTCATGCGTGTTAATGGCAGCTAATGAGGACCCGAGGTGGGGGAGTCGGGGGGTACCCAGGTCCCAGAGGCCAGATTAAGGACTACAAACCATAGCTCCTGGTCGGGGATGGGAGGGTGGGGGGCTTTGTCTCCTCCTCACTGCCTCCAGGTGGCTCTGGAGGGAGAAGACTGGGAGGGAAGGGCCCTGAGGAGGGCGCCCCTCCACTGCCGGGGCTGCGTGACTTTCCCGGACCCTTCATTTGTTCATTCGCTTGGCGCCTGCCCAGCACAGAGAGTTGGGCTGGGTGGCAGCCGACCCCATGGCTCTGCCTGTGTCCAGTGCCATATTGCCAGTCGCGGTGTGTTGAGCCACCTGCTCCACTGGCCGAGCCCCATCCCTGCCCTGGGTGCCGCGTGTGGATTCAGGGGCTCGTCCAGCATGTCCGCCGCAGTCGCCCTCCCCTCTTGCTCTGGTGGGGCTGGCAGGGCAGCTGGGTGGACACTGGCGACTGCCACCTGGTCTGCACAGGGGTCACACACACAGTGTGAGAAGAGGAAGAACCTCTGGGAGCCCAAGTCTGTGGGGCCGACTTGTGTTGGGCAGAGGAGGACTTGGGGGGCGCCTGAGCTTTGGGGTGCCTAATTATAGCAGTGCTGCTCAGCATGGTGTCCCCAACCCAGCAACATCAGCGCCCCACCCAGACCGATAAGTCAGAAACTCCAGGTGGCCCAGTGTCTGCTCTTATCTGCCTTGGGAGGCGCCGGGAATAAGCAGGCTCACGTTTGGATTTGACTGACCCTGCTAGTTCCAGAGTGGGTTCAACCCCGATAGCCTGAACTGATGAGATCAGGTCGGACAGAGGGTCTCTAGCCAGAGTGTGAGTCCAGCCCCACCGCCCAGAGATGGTGCTTAAAGTGGGATCTCGGCTCCACCCAAGGGAGATGGACCCAAAGCTGCATTTCTCCAAGTCTTCCAGGGGAGCCGGAAGTGCAGGGAAGCAGCTGCCGGCTGCCTGGCTTGGGCGCGGGTTGCTGCCGTCAGAGCCCACGCTGCGGTGGGCAGTGGGCCTGCTTTTGTTCTACACGCTTTCCACACGCTCCTTCAGACTGGGGACCGCAGAGGAGCATCTGAGGGAGGAGGCAGTGAAGAAAAGGGCTCTGGTCACTGCTTGAGCCCCCTTGATCTCTCCAGGCTGAGCTCCCTCCACCCTCTCTGGGGAGGGGCCTGCTCTGGGGGAGCGAGCAGGGAGCCTTAAGCCTCCCTCAGGCCAGGAGTCTCAGACACTGCCAGTGTTTGGGACACGTGCTTCGGACTCCTACATGATCATAACGTTCACTAGGGCTCCCCTAATTTACGACTTGTGATTCATCCACCCCGGACAGAGCTAGAATCTTCTACCCAGGTATTTGGCCCCAGAAATGAAGCTGAACCGTGGCGGGAGCGTGAGGCCCTGATGACTGAGGACGGTCTGAGGTTTGGAGTCTCTGGGAAGGACTGGGGTGGAGCGGCCAGTGCAGAGGCCTGGTTGGAGGTGGGGGTGCCAGGGATGCGGGGGGAGAGCAGTGACTAGAAGAGGGGTGAGCACTGGGAGTCATGGCCTTTGAGTATAGGTCGCTTGGGAAAGGGGTGGCAGAACACGGGAGAGGGCTGGTGGCTGGTGGAGGTGGAGGCATTGGCACCGATGGGACCATTGCAGCTTGACGACAACCCTGTGACCCTGAGGGTGAAGAGAGCCCCTGCCTGCCTCAGCTCTTCCTACTCATGGAGGGCGGAAGCCCACACAGCAGAGGCCTTTCGATAAAGCAGGGCCCTGTGGCCCCCAGCCCCGGCCTGTCCTCACTGGGCGCCAGCTTCATTCTCCTGAAATCCGCGCTGGGGGCCGGCCTGCTCAACTTCCCCTGGGCCTTCCACAAGGCAGGAGGCGTGGCCCCTGCCCTCCTGGTGGAGCTGGTAAGCACCCGGCAAGCATTGAGCGGGGACGGTGGGGTGCTGGGGTTGCTTCTGTCTCAGAAACACCTTCCTCAGTATTCGGCTTTGTCCCCTTTGGCTCGCCAGGGGAGAAGACCATGCGCTTGGTGCTGCTGAGGGTGACCTCTGTGGTTGGGGTGGGCTGGCAGGGAGAGACCTGCTGAACCCGTGAGTGCAGGATGCCTGCGTCGAGTGGTCGTGTGATCTAACACTGTCGGTGGGCGGGGCGCACTCTGAGCAGCTGCTGCGGCCTCAGCTCAGCACCTAAGACTCAGGGCTGTGGTGTTTCCATGTCCTGCTGGGTCAGGTCTTCCACAGTGTCCCACAGGGCCAGCCCCAAACCCCACCACAATGCCTGGGTAGCTGAGCTGTGGTGGAAAGAGCCAGTCACCAGCACAGCTTCACCTTACTTACAAAGATTCCTTTCTACCGTCTGTTGGGAACACGGCGTTTTGTTCCATGGTGAGCTCACTGGCAGGCATTGTCTCGACTGTTAGGGCTGCCAGCTGGTATAGCTGGGTTAAAACTGACATCTTCAGGACCTTCTGTGTCCTGGAAACTGCTGAATCCTGCCTGGGTAGTGTCTGGTGTGGCCTGGCATCCCCCTTCATGGTTGGAGTGTCGCCGTGAAGCTTATATGGGGAAAGCCTAAAAGATAGAAGCCCAACGTAGTGTCAGGTGGTGGGCAGTGTCAGGAGGCATAAGGTGGGACGACATGTTGCAGGGCAGTCAGCAAAGACCTTGCTGAAGAGGTGAAATTGACCTGAGTCCTGGCAGAGCGGAATGGGGTGTCCAGGTGCATATGAGGGCCAGCATGCCTGTGTTTGGACACATGAGGCAGAAAGGCTGGCCTTCCGGAGCCCAAGGAAGGAGCTCCCTCTCTCGCCACAAAGGCTGAGTGGTAAAGTAGGTGGGGCTGAGGGTGGGAGGACCCATGGCCAAGTACAGGTGTGACCAATGTGACCACTTCTCACTTTGCACACACCTCCAAGGTTCCCTGTGCAATGAGATCCTGACCTGGAGGTCTGGGTGGGCCTGAAGTCAGCCATTCCTGACTGGCTCCTTGCTGACTCGGCTGCTGCTGGCATGGCTTTTGTTCTGCCTGGATCCCCGTAGACTTAAGAACGTGAACCAGTGGAAACTCCCAGTGAGGGAAAGAGTCAGTTTGGTCATCAGCAAACACTGTTCCCCTTCCTAGCTGTTGATTTTTCATGCAGAGCTGCCAGAGAAAGGGATGTCTGGTGGTGGCTCAGTCTGGGCAGTGGAAGAGACTGAAACCTACCTCCCTCCTTATGTGTTGAGACTCTGCCCTTTTCCAGGGGCACAGTGGTGGAGCGTGTTGGTCTCTTCTGACCCCTTCGCACTGGAGGCCAAATGAGACTGGGCGAACCGTGACCCCCTGAAGCTGCAGAGAGGAGGAACCCTCAGAGTCAGAGGCTCTGTGCTGCCCCTCTGCGCAGCACCTCCGCTCCCTCTGAACTCCCTTCTCCCCCTTCCTCCAGAATGCCTCCTGAGTGCCTGCTGTGTGCCAGGCTCCTTTCTGGGGTTAATTGGTAAACAAACCCAGACGCGATCCTGATTGTCAGGGAGCTCACCGTCTGGTGGGTTAGGGCCTCTAATGCATGCACAGGTGATGTGTCGGTGCCCGGGGCTTGGCCTGACTGCTGAAAACAGCAGTCACGGTCTCCGTACTGGGCGCTAGAAGTCTGAGATCCAGGGTGGCAGGGCCAGCTCCCTCCTTCCTGCCTCTTCCAGCTCCTGGCGGCTCTCCCTCAGGCTCCTGCACAGTTTTCTGTGTCTCCTCTGATGCCTCCTACAAAGAGATTTGTCGTTGGGCGTGGATCCAGGTGGATGATCCAGGATGATTTTTATTATACCTGCAAAAACCCTTTTCATTAATTGCATGTTTATTATTTACATCTGCAGAGACTGGGCTCACTGACTCACTTCCACAGGTTGGGAGTGTGGGCTTATCTGTGGGGGGCCCACCCTTCCACCTACTTCTAGAGGAAATGTGCTCAGGAAAGAGAGTTGTAGGGACTGGTACGGGCAGAGGTCCAGTGGCTGGAGGGAGTAAGGTGTTCTGACTCTGAAAGGTTGCTTCCAGCAGCTCCAAAGTGGTTTCTGGATGATAAAGACCAAATCTGCTAATCCAGGGGCGTGACCTGCTTCTGAAGACAACCTTTCTTCCTCCCCTGGGCTTTCCAGATGAGCCCCTTCTGGTTCATGCTTTCTCCAAAGAAATGTGGGCGAGTAGTTTGGGCCTGGAGATCAATTCAGCTTAGGGACATGTAGCTGTTGGTGCTAGAGAGGCTTTCAAGCATCTCATGTGCAGAAAGTCCAGTGTACCCCAAATTAAGGGGCTCCCGGCACACGGAGGCATGATTGCTGGGCTGGAGCTGTGGCAGAGCCAGCAGTGACGAGCTCCTGTGGCGTGCACCCTGGACGCCCCGCCCTGCGTTGGAAGCATAGGCTATCCTGGGGAGCGCATGAGAAAAGCCTAGCATGGAGAATAAGTGCTCAGCAGATCCTGGGCGCTTGCTCTGGGGCCCTGAGGTAAGGTCTCAGTCACCTGTTTGTTGAGTCTGAGTGTCTCACAGCACCCCCGGGGGAGGGGAGGCCAACCCATTTTGCAGACAGAGGAGCAGGTAGATGGTCGACCCCACCCACTGAGCAGAGCTCAAATCTGAACCCAGTGTGCTGGATCCTGCCTGCTCTGCTTTCCTGCCGCTTCGCCCACAGCTCGGGGGACTTCAGGAGACTGAATGAAATTTTGGGTTTCTGCGGCCTCATTTGTCAATTGGTCCATATTGATGAGCATCCCAGATTTACAGACATGGAGCCAGGGTGCCCTGCCATGGGCCTTCGCTGCAGCACTGGGTTCAGGGCTGGGCCTGGTGGCAGGTGGGGATGGCCCCAGGGCTATAGGCAAACATGGCTTCTGCTGGTGATGGGCCTGAGGGGGAGTGATGGCAGTGTCCCCGGGCAGCTGGCTGGGCAGCAGGCCTGGCGTACCCTGGCCCATGCTCCCCTGCCCTGCAGGTCTCCTTGGTCTTTCTGATCAGTGGACTGGTCATCCTGGGCTACGCAGCCTCTGTCAGCGGCCAGGCCACCTACCAGAGTGTGGTGGGAGAACTGTGTGGCCCCACCATCGGGAAACTGTGCGAGGTCTGCTTCAGTGTCAATCTGCTCATGATCTCCGTGGCCTTCCTCAGGGTGATTGGGGACCAGCTGGAGAAGTGTAAGTATCTGCTTGGTCCCGGGCTGATGAGCCTGATGAGCGGGCAGTAGACACTGGGCTGGGCGGCCGCAGAGGTCATGACCGTCTCTGAGCCTCCTGGTGGGTAGGCGAAGAAGGTGGGGGCACCCGTGATTCTCAGCACCAGGAGATTCTTGGGGAGAGGCAGTGGCTCTGATGGCTCGTGGCTGGGGGGCGGTGTACCTCATTTATGGATGGCTCACAAGCCCACTCAGTGGAACCCCTATGATTGAGAGAGAACCGCCAGCACCTTGACTTTCGGGAAGACAGACTCGGCTCCCCCTTCCCCAGCTCCCCTACCTCCGCTCACAACCTTGGCCTCTGTCCCCCGCTAATAGTTTCTTTAAACATTGCTTTAGTTGCTTCTACCAGTTTTCCTTTTCATTTCATGCCATCCAAAATAATTGCTCTTTCTGCTCTGCTTTCTTCTTTGACTTGTAGGGTACCTAAATCATGTGGCTTGATTTCCAGTTTATGGGCAGTTTTCTTGATCCTTTTTGGCCTTAATTGCATGGTGGACTCACAGTAGTGCATTGGGAGACTGGCCTCACGGCCTCTACGTGGTCTCTCAGTGAGCGTTCCCTGTATTCTGCAGTGGATGCGGAGTTCTAGAACTTTCTGTATATGTATATCCAGGTGGTCCACAGCTTTGAGCAGCTAGAACTCTCGCAGTGTTATTGACTGAGGGGTGCAGTGTATAGTGAGGGTCTGTTCTATCAGCTTCTGAGGGAAGTGAAAATTTCCAGCTGTGACTGCCGATTTTGTCTGTTGTTCCTTCCATTCTGTCTGTTTTGGTCTCACAGTTATGGAAGCTCTGCTGTTGAATTCACCCGTGAATCGCTCTTTGCTGCCGGGAGATATCTCTTTGTTCCTGCAAAGCTGTCACTAAATGGCCCTTTCTGCTGTGAATGTAGCTGTTCCAGCTGCGTAGATGCACCTTCCCAGTCCATTTCTCTTCCCGCCTTCCCTGTGGAACCTGAGACTTTAAAATGCATTCCTCGCACGCAGCAGATGGTTGGGTCTTGCTTTTTTGTCACCTTAGTGCTCTCAGATGTCTAATTGGAATGTAATTACTGATGTGGTTGGATTTCGGTCCAGCGTTCTGTGTTTGTTCTGTCTCTTGAACCGTGAATGAAAAGGTCCAGCCTCTGGAGAGCGTGTGGAAGGCTCGCAGGTCTTGGGAAATACCCTTATCCCCAAACGTACCAAGGCTGGTAAATCTGAACCTCTCGGGGGGTACAATCTCCTGCCTTCCTGTGACAAGTCCGGTGGGAGTGTAGCTGTGTTGAGGAGTCTGAGGCTCCGTAACGCAGCCCTGATTAGGGCGCAGCCCCCTGCTCTGGCGGGTGCTGGCAGAGAGCACCCCTGTGCATTACCACTTGGCTGCTCGGATGGCAAGGCCACGCCGCTTGGGGCTAAAGAGAAGTTGGGTGCTTGGGGGCGTTGCCGCGTGAGGAAGCGGCTGGGGCTGAGGACACGGAGGGGCTTGAGAAAGTGCGGGCTCAGGAAGCAGCGGGTGCTGCCTGATACAGAGCCGGGTCTTCCTGGCGGCTCGCGTTGGGTGCTGCGCTCCCCAGGGTTTAACGCTCACCAGGCCTCTCTGCCCTTGGGTGCGTGTCCCCTTGCTGGCCCAGAACACGCTTCCACGTGAGCCTCTGTCTGATGCCTTTGGTGTGGCACTCTCCTCTGTCTTGCAGCAGAAACAAGCTATTCTCACGAGGCATTTATTTCTTCGCATGACTGGCCATGTTGCTTGGTCAGAGCAGCAGGGTTGAGTTACAGCAACACAAGTGGGCAGTGGGCCGGCGCTCAGCCCACGCCCACACTGCCGGGGCGGCGGGGCCCAACCACCCAGCAGTTCCAGCCCCTGCTTCTTGCCATCTCCCCATTTGCTTCCCCTCCTTCCCCCCACCCCCGCCCCGTTGCCTTGCTGCTTATGTCAACTGCAAATTTTCCATCTTGCTGTGACAGAAGTACACTGCCGGATTCTTTGATTTCCTTTCATTGAGAGGTTGCTGGGGTGTCTGTCTCCTTCCCTTAAGTCGGGGGCTCCATGACAGTTCGGCATGAACAGAAGGGAAGATGTGACCCAGGCCAGTTCCAGGCCAGCCTTGCGGAGGGCAGGCACTACGGTCTCCAGGAACACCCCAATGGCAGAGTCTCCTGCTGGGGAGTCCCTGTGGGGAGACCCTGAGAGTGCAGGAGGCCCTGCTTGATTCTCCTTCCACCCTCCCCAGACCTGTCCTCCTCCGGACAAGCTCCATGAGGTCACCTACCTGACGCCACAGGGAGCAGAAGTGGCCCTGCCCTGTGCTCGTTCTGCACCCACAGTCCCTAACAGATAACGAATTGGTGGTTCTCAGTCACTCCCTGAGGTGGTGGCAGTAGCCACAGGGAAGCACAGCCCTAGTGCAAGGTGGCTACAGGCCTCTGGGGGCCCCCTCACCACTGGGATTCTGGGAAGACAGAGGATCTTTCATTAGAACCTGAGGGCCAGGGTGCCTTGGGCAGGTGCCCTCCGGGGCTGGGTTTCAACAGCTGAGCTGTGTCTGGCTGGCAATGAATTTGCGTGGGGTGCCATCCTTGGTGGCATGTGACAGCATCTCCGTCACGCCTGTCATCCCAGGCCTTGATGCCTAGGGGACTGACTCGGCGAACCCCCCCTCCCGGGATGCACCCCGGCACCACAGCTGGGGTCCTTCTCGCTGGGCCCGCTGAGCGCCCCCCTCCTTCCCACCAGTGTGTGAATTCCTCCTGCCCAGCTCCCCGCAGCCCTGGTATGCAGACCAGCACTTCACCCTGACCCTGCTCTCTGTGCTGGTCATCCTGCCCCTGTCGGCCCCAAGGGAAATCGGCTTCCAGAAGTACACAAGGTAAGCCTGCAGGTGGTCACAGAGGCCTGGGGAGCCGCAGCAGCGGTGTTGGTGGTGGGTGGCCAGCTTGGGCTTCCCCTAGGACAGGGCAGGAAAATAAAGATGTGAGTGATAGGAAATAGGGGAAAGCTCCTGTGCGGCCTCGCCTGCTGCCAGCAGCTGCTGGCTGACCGTTGCAGACTTGTCACGCATACACCTGTGCGCACGTACCAGGGACACAGGTGCACCTTTATTTTCTCATCTGCTCCGAGACTTGAGAGACACTCTTGAAGGAAAGTCAAAAAGTGCCGGTACAAACGTGCCACCTGCCTTCCCCTCTGGGGTCAGGAGCAACTGTAGACTCTACCTTGGAAACGAAGGGGGCAGCGTGGGCAGGAGACCAGCGCCTCCCTGCCTCCAGCCCTGGTCAGTCTCCCTCGTTCTCCTCGGTGACTTGGGGCCTCTTCCCTGCTGCCGTGAGAGAGCAAGCGGTGTCAGGACGTGGACGTGTGGCTTTCATTGTGAGACGCAGGCATCAGTAGCAGTCACAAGTCCCTGGTGAGGAGCGGGGCAGATCCGACCTCTGGGTGGAGAACAGCCCTGCCTCCCTCAAATGGCCTTCCCGCTGTGCCCATTACACACACAAGGAAGCTGAGGCTGAAAGCGGGAGAACTTGGTCTCGCATCTCGCTGCCTTGGGCAGAGCTGGCACATGGACTCCCATGCCAGGGACTACTCCCTCTGTAGGATTCCCTGACCCTCTGGGGTGGGGTGGGGGGTGTCCTGTGCTTGGCTGGTACATGGCACCCACCTGAGGGGCCCCTCACCTGCGCCTCTGTCAGCATCCTAGGCACGTTGGCTGCCTGCTACCTGACCCTGGTCATCGTGGTGCAGCACTACACGGGACCCCAGGCGCTTGCTCGGGAGCCCCGCGCTGCACTCAGGTGAGTCTGAGGGGTGCCTTTTCATGGTTTCCCGGGGGGCTGAGAGAGACTTTTGGAAGAGGAACCCTCTTCCCCAAAAATTGCTCTGTGTTCATCGTGATGGAGCCCAGGGCTGGCCACTTTCCTCCTTCAGGACAGACAGGGACAGGCCCAGGGATATAAAGGCACAAAATGCCACCCCAGCCTGCAACTCTGGACCCACATGTGTTGTCCACACACTGGAGACAGCAAAACCCATCTAAAGATGCAGGTGCTTGGGTAGAAGGTCAGTGATGCCTGGAGGCCTGTGTCACCCTCCAGCCAGGGTATCGGGATGGGGGTGGAGGGGCAGGTTTGGGATGGGGCTTGGGTAAGGTGAGCCCTCCACGCCCCACAGGGTTTTGAGCACAGCAAGGTCTGAGCTCACATCTGCGGCGGCAGGCAGTCTTGGGGGTGGGGGCAGGTGACAGATGTGACCACCGTGCCCATAGGGCCCTGCAAGTGGTCCAACACGCTGAGCTTTTCGTTGTCAAGGGCTACAGCTTGTTGGTTCTGACTGGGCCGCGCCAACACTACAGCGCCTCCTGGCGTGGGGTCCGCAATGGAGTGTGAGAGGGGAGGGTCCAGGTGCCTTTGGGCTTTGACCCTGACCACCGGGATGTCACACATGCCCTTTCCCCGATGGGTGGGGTGCAGAGGCGCCCGAGGCTGGATGGGACATGTTGAAGCCATCTTTGAGACCAGGTTGCCGGCCAAGATCTGTCTCCAGAGAGGCCAGGCCGGAGGGAGGGATGCGATGGGCACTGGTGCGCCAGTCTGGGGAGAAGGGGGTCCCTTGTGCTCGGCCTGCCTGTTCATCATGCACTGGGAGGCCAGGGAAGGGAGCTGGGGAAGATGGGGTTCTGGTGAGGAGGTAGGAGGGTTTATGTGCTCATTGAGCCCCTGTAACAAATGCCTGTGAGCATGCTGGCTGAAAACAGGTTCTCCTCAGACCTGGAGACATGAAGCCCAAAGTTAGCGTGGTGGGGATGGCTTCTGGGCTCCCTGCCTTTCCAGCTCCTGGTGGTCCCAGCAGTCCTGGGTGTTCTGGGCCTGGAGACACTTCCTTTGTCTCTGCCCCAGTGGTCATGTGGCCATCTTCCCTGCGTCTTTTCCGTTCTGTGATCCCTCCACTCTACCTTCATCTCAATTTAAGTACATCTGTGAAGAGCCTATTTCAATTGGCTTTGTTTTGAGGAGGTAATTTTGGAGACAGTAACAACCCAGTATGGAGGATGACTGGGAGGAGGGCTTAGAAGTCGGCGAGGGACACTTAGGAAGGCTGAGTGGTCAGTGCCACACGCTGCTCCCACATTACGGTAGCCGAGTCTGGGCTCCAGACTGGCTGCGGAGGTCTTTGGTGGCATGATGAGCTGTGTCAGGGCGGGAGAGGGGCTGAGGCTGTGGGTAGGTTTCAGCAAAGACGAAAAGAGCTCTCCAGGAGAGGAGAGGCAGAACTGAGGCTAGAGGCCACAGCTCATGTGCCTGGTGATGGGCATAGTCCAGCAGAGAAGGGAAAATAGAGGTGGGAGGGCTGGGTCCCTACTAACCCTTCAGGTGGGTGGGCCGGGCCGCTCAGCGACAGGAACGTCTCAGCTGAGCCCCTGCGCACACAGGCAGGCCGGGGGGCAGTGCGCCTGGGCCCCTGCTGCTGGCTGCCGACGGGCTGGGCCAGCAGCGGCAGGTGGTGCAGGGCAGTCGGAAGGTGGGCTCAGCCAGAGCAGAATAGAACAGGGGACCCCCCCCCCCCGTTGGCAGTTTTCGGAGGCTGCCCTAAGAAATCACCACCATTTTGGTGGCTTAAAACAGGTCACAAGCCCATAATGAGCCCGGGGGGCTGAAATCAAGGAGGCTCCAGGGATGAATCATTGCTTTGCTTTTCTACTTCTGTCGGCACCTGCATTCCTTGGCCCATGGTGCAAAGCCAGTGCCATTCCCTCTCTTCACTGGTTCTGGAAGCACAGCTCTGATCACTGCTCGGGAAGCTGCTCACACTCCAGGGATTCATGGGTCCATCGGCCTGGTAGTCCGGGACATCTTGCTTTCAGAGTCCTTAAATTTAATCCCATCTGCAATGTCTTTTGCTCTGTCACATGACACACTCATGGGTTCCCAGTGTTAGGTGGCGGGTCTCTCTGGGACCTTGATTCTGTCCCAGCCAGCACGCGCCAATTCTGGTTATGCCCCACTCTGCTGTGTTTCTCTGAAGGCGTTGCAGACTGACTCCTAGGGGTCTCTGTGCCAGGGAGCTGGTGCCCTCTGGCAGGACCACTGAGAGGCCTGAGCAGACGACAAGCTCAGATGTGAACCAGCCCCTAACCTCATTGCCAGTAGGCTGCCAGCCTCAAGAGGGAGGTGGGGAGTTCTCTTTCCTGCCCATCTCTGTCAGCGCAGCAACTTCGTTAACTTGTCAGCATAGATGTATTTAGATAGTGCAGCATTTAACCTCCATCCTTTCCCTCCCCCACACCAGACCTGGTAGCAGGTGCAGTAACTAAAGTGTATCTTACAGTCACAATTCCATCTTCCTTGTATCCCTTCAACTCCCATCCAAGCTGCAGGTTGTCTAGAATATAACTTTTCATAATATGCACCTGTTCTGGTCTATTTACAGCGCTTCCTCCTGGACCTCTGTGTTCAGCGTCTTCCCCACCATCTGCTTCGGATTCCAGGTAATCTCAGTGTCGGCCTGGAGGCCTGTGGCTTTGTAGGCGACAGAAGACCCTCTCCCTGGCGAGCAGCCTGCTACCAGAGGGCTGGGCCGTGGGCTGTCTCCCAGGGAATGTGCTGTGGGCTTGCATCTGTGCTCTAGGGCTTGGGAACTCAGTCACCGACAGGCACCAGCAGTACCATGTCTGCTGGGTTCACAGAAGGATGTGGGGGTTCAGACTTGTCCCCTCCCCGGTACAAAACCCTTGCAGGGCTGTGATGGTGCTGGAGACCAAGCTGCTCATTTTCCAGGGGACTAGAACAGCTAGTGGCTCGGCCCCAGGCCCTCAGAGAGAGGGCAGTGGGGCAGCGGGATGCCCGGCAGGTGCCTGCGTGAGGGCCGGTGTTGTGCGATGTCCCGGGGATGGGCTTCTGGTGTGCTCTGGCTGCACGGAGGCCACAGCTTCTGGAGACCGCAGAGGAGGCGCCCGTGGTGGGGGTCCAGCTAGAGGGGACAGCACGGACGCGGGGCCTGGGTCTGGGGAGTGGCTGTGGTCAGCCGTGGATGGGCTAGAGGGACATTGTCTCCCTCAGGGTTCCGTCTCCTCCAGGAGCCAGTGGACTCTTTTCTGTCACTGTTTATTGTAGGGAAGATTTGCTTCTCTCCCAGAAATACCCACCTACCTGCCCCGTGGCCCCCCGAGTCACCCCAAAGTAAAATCCTATTGGTGCAGGGTTGACACCGCCCCCCCGCAACCAAACAAGGGCCGTTTCCTTGGCAAGCAACCGGCCCCCAACTCTTTTCTTCATACGTTTTCTTTGAAAACCACTTTTGAACAGAATCTGAAGCATCTCCGTTTCCCTTCCTTATAACGGAGCCAATTTCAGTGGCTTCGCATGACTCGGGGGTTTCTCACATTGCTTCTCACACACCCAGTATTTTGCTGTCAGCTGTGTGTGATGTGGTAGCCCGCTGGCGTGCCGGGAGCGGCTGCTTCCCATTGCTTTGGCTCCCTCACTGATTCTCCTGCAAACTAGGCCCGAAGATGTGATGGCAGGGTGGGTGGGGTAAGGACTGGCTGCCGGCCCTGACCAGTGGCAAAGCTGTCAGGTTCCTGTGGACAGTTGGGGGTGGGGGGGAAGAGTGGATGGATGCAGATGAAGAGGGTGGGAAGTTGGGTGAGGGAAAATGGGGGTTACCTGTTGTCATCAGGACTTCTCACCTGGCTCAGACACTCTTCTTCCCCCTCGTTTAGCAGAGGGCCACCCCCAGCCTGTGCAGCCTGGCAAGGGGTCTGGGAGGAGCAGGGGTGGGGTGTGTGCTCTGTTCCCAGCTGCCCTGGCCACACTTGGGGCTTCACTGGTGTCCCCTTTAACAGCTTCTTTGGGAGGCGGTGCCCGGAGCGGCCGGCTCACTGTGGCACTGAGCTCAGTGGCTTCTGTGTATCCAGAGCTCGGCAGTAACGATCAATTTTAGAATATTCGCTTCAACCCCAGAGAAACCCATACCCCTTGGCAGTCATGGCTCACTCCCCACCCCACAGCAACCAGGGCCTGTTCTGGATGTCAGGACTCGGTCTTGGGGATGGGTGCCTTTCCCGTAGCTGGCTGATGAGGTTTGTGTGGGCTGTGACCCCTGTTGCTTTTGATGGCCACGTCAGGCCTCCCGTGTGGACACTGTTTATGCTCCTCATCAGTGGGTGCTTAGGCTGTTGCAGCTGGTGGTCAGCCTGTGTTGCTCGGCCCTGCTTTCCATTTCCCAGTGACCAGAGCCACCCGTCCTCCAGAGACGGCTGAGTTTCCTCTCAGAGCCAAGCACTTAGGATGCCATCGTGCCCACCCCTCCCCACACACCCCTGTGAGCGTCATGTCTACTTAGACCGCAGTGCTGGGACCCCAGTGGATGCTGTCGTTTGGGACCCCCAGGAAGCAGAGCTTCTGACAGGGCTGGTGTCCTCTTGGGAGCTGGGAGGGGACTGTGGCGCGCATGCAGAGGTGGGGACCTTGACCAATGGCTCCGTTAGACCCCCTGCCTGGTTAAGCTGGTCCATAGGCCGTTGGGCACTCGTGAGGTCCCAGAAATACTTGCCCAGAGTGTCTTTGCTGCCACACAGCGAATGGCCAGATACTAAAGCAAACATCTCACACAAGAGGCCTGGCGACACAGAGGAACTAGGCCCCGAACTAAGTGAGGTGGTGGGAGTCCTGTCCTGGGAGCCTGGGGGTATCCTGGCTCCTGTGGGTGCATCTGGACACAGCAGCACCCTCAACCCTGCCTGAGCCTCAGGTCCCCTGGGCTGCTTGTGAAACACCACGTGGCGATGTCTGTCACACTGGGGGCTCTGTCTTGGTGACATGTCCGCGCTTCCTGCTGGGTTTCTGAGGGTGGCGCAGTGCCACACGTAGGTAAGTCACAGGATCTGTATTCCCGTGTGGCCATAGCCCCGGTTAGGGGACACCTCACGATGCCTGTAGATGTTCCCTTCGTCCCCCCTGGGGTGCTGCTGACGTCTACTAATTTGAGGCCAGGGACAATCGGCTTTCTACAACACGCGGAGACAGTAGTACTGGGACTGAGAGCCCGTCTTGACCTGCTTGGCCTGTCACGTGGGCTTCACGTGGGTGGAAGCGTGTGTGTGTCTGGCCTGTGAGGCTTTCCCCACGGGGTGCAGGTTGTGTCCGTGCTTTTTCCGCATGGAATTACAGGCACCTGTGCTCCTGGTTGTGGTGGACATTGGGTTCTCCTGTCTTTGGGGCATCAGCACTGTGTCAGCGGCTCCGGGGGGACTCTGGCACCCGCTATGTGCGGTGGCCTGAGCTCGCTGCGGGCGCCTCTGTCTCCCAGTGCCATGAGGCTGCTGTGTCCGTCTACTGCAGCATGCGCAACCAGGGCCTGGCTCACTGGGCGCTCGTCTCCGTCACGTCCTTGCTGACCTGCTGCCTCGTCTACTCGCTCACAGGTACAGCCTGGTCGCCTGGGGCTGGATGTGGGGGTGGCGGGGTCATGGGAGCAGGGAGTATGTACAGAGGGCTACCGCGTACTGGGCACAGCTCCCCGAGTTTTGGGTACCTTAAAGCTGAGGCTCAGAGTGCTTGAGGGCCTGTCTGTGGTCTCCTGACTAGATGAGGCAAAGCCGGAGATGTTTCAGATTCAGTAGCTGTCAGCAGGATCACAGGACTCCTCAGAGGGCACAGGGGAAACCCAAACAGCTGGGGTGGTGCCCAGGACGGGGCAGACGGGTGCTCGGAGACGCTGTTGTAGTGGAGCAGGGTACCGGCCCTGGCCTTGGGCCTGTCATGGAGGCTGTGTGATGCCCAGGTCGTGGTTTTCCCCATAGGAAATGGGCTCACTGCCAGCTGCTGGCCCAGGTCTGTCAGGTGGTGTGCGCAGGGCAGGAAGATGGTGTTGCCATTTCCTAAGCTCTGCCTGCCCACGCCGTGCTCCGGGAGCGCTCTCAAGGTAGCAGCCACGGTTTTGCTCAGCAGGGGCTTTCGGTCAGAAGAGCCGAGTTTCGTGTGGACTCAGGGCAGGGAAGCCTGGGCCGGGGGGTGGGATGGCCCGAGGGCCGTCCAGCCCGCCTCTGGCCTCCTAGGGAAGGCCTCGGGGCGCCAGGCGGGCGCTGTCAGCATGCTGGGTGTGAAGGCGCACGTCTCAGTTCCTGTTCTGCCCTCCGCTTTCCAGGGGTTTATGGCTTCCTGACCTTCGGGACTGAAGTTTCTGCTGATATCTTGATGTCCTACCCGGGCAACGACGTGGTCATCGTGGTCGCCCGGGTCTTCTTCGCCATCTCCATTGTGACCGTCTACCCCATTGTGCTCTTCCTGGGGAGGTGAGGCCTGGCTCGCGGGGTCAGGTCCCTGCAGCTCAGTGTCAGTCTGGGCGCCGGTGCCCAGGTAGGACAGGGCCTGCGGAATCGTTTCATGAAGGAGGAAATTCTCTGTTTCTGAGGCAGGGAACTAGGGTGCTAGCACAGAGCTGCCCAGTTAACAGTGTCGGCTGGGGCTGGTTCCCGAGTCGGCCTCAGTGCCCACCTGGGCCCTCTCTGTAGAGCTGGGTGGGGACAACTGGGCCCAGGTCAGTGGGGAGTGAGTTCACTCTCCTTGGGAAAACACTGCAGAATTTAGAGGCGTGGAAGCACTTTGCTACTCTGAGATGGAGCAGGTGTGGGGGTATGAAAAATGGACTTCAACCCCTGAGGGTTGGTGCATACCTGAGGAGTGATGCACCCTGCTGGCTTTCAGGGCAATGGCAGGGAGCCTGGGGCGCAGAGGCGGGAGTCCCTGGGGCCCGTAGTGCCCGTGGTGCTTTGACCCCCAGGTCGGTGATGCAGGATTTCTGGCAGAGGAGCTGCTGGCTGGCGCGTGTGCCCCAGGCCCTGGCTGACCCCTCGGGGCCATGGGTTCGCATGCCACTCACCATCCTGTGGGTCACCGTGACGCTCGCCATGGCCCTGTTCCTGCCGGACCTCAGCGAGATCATCGGCATCATTGGCGGCATCAGCTCCTTCTTCATCTTCATCTTCCCAGGTGAGCTGCAGCTTCCCCCACCCCCCAAGTCCTCCCTAGCTTGTCTCTGCAGGGAGTCAGGGAGTGGGGTAGGGGCTGGGGTGCCCTCACCGTACCCACCCCGCACGAGTGTGCCTGGTGGGAGCCTGTCCTGCCCCACCGGTGGAAATGCAAAGGCTGGCGCACAGCAGGGCGAGTCGCCGCACAGCTAGTGGTTTCTAAAAATGTTCAGATGCACCCCGGGAAGTCCTCAGCATGCCCCGACCGCAGAGGCAAGTGCAGTTTCTGTGCTGGGTGGTCTCCTCGGACCCTCTCCAGTGGCAGTGAGTGCTGAACAGCCTGTGGCGTGGCCTGAGGGCTGCCCCATCCGGGGTACTGGTGAGGCTGCCGGGAAGGTGGCGGGGACCCCGGAGGAGCACGAGGGTGGCCAGCAGGGGCTCAGGCCGGAAGCCCAGATCTGAGGGGCCTGGAGTTCAGTGCCTACTGCTTCCCACAGCCGGTGGGTGCCCTGTCAGCACATTCCCGGGCGCACCGGCACTCCACAGCCTGAATCATGGCAGAGCCAGGGCAGGCACACTGGCATTTAGGGGAACCTTGGCAGTGTGCCCCAGCTCTCATGCAACAGGCGAGAACTAGGTGTCTGTTGGTAACCGAGTCGCAGAAAGGATCTGCAGGTGGCTTTGCAGGCGCCTCCAGACTGGAGTGGCAGCAGGAAACAGGCTTCTGGGCCCAGGTCAGTGGGGAGTGAGTTCACTCTCCTTGGGAAAACACTGCAGAATTTAGAGGCGTGGAAGCACTTTGCTACTCTGAGATGGAGCAGGTGTGGGGGTATGAAAAATGGACTTCAGGTGAGCCGGAAATCAGGGTGGTCTGGTCTGAGGTGAGGCTGCAAGGACAGGGGGTCCCAGCCTGACCCTGCGCTGGGAAGAACTTCCGAGGAGGGTGTTGTTTCTTCCTTTGGCCCCTTTTATGAGGCCGAGGTTCAGCCCAGGAAAGTCGGCTCCTTGCTGGTGACCTGGGTGGTGGTGGCCTTCAGCTCTGCTATTGCCTGAGCATGAAGTGAGCAGCCAAGGCGGTGTGGGCTGGGGGAAGGCACGGGAGTTTCAGGCCTAGCTGTCTCGCTCTGACTCCCAGCCAAAGAATTAAGAGATTAAAAGAAAAAAGAGAGAGGTCGAGAGCAGTAATCGCTGCCAGTCGCTGAGCTCGTTCAGGGCCACTGCGTGGAGGGGATGGTGCCCTTGTCATTGGAAACCCGAGGCCTTCGGAGGCCAGGTTCCCGGGGACAGTCAGCCTGCACCCTGCAGATGGCCTTCCACTATGTGAGCTGCCTCGCCAGGGCACCCTTGGGGCGGGGGCTTGGTGCCCTCTACGGGCCCAGGGATGGCAGGTTTAGTAAGCCTGGTTTTCTTGGGCCCACGGTTCCTTAGGGGCTCTGTACTCAGTACTGGGGTGCTCCTTGTTTCCCCTGCAGGTCTGTGCCTCATTTGTGCCATGGGCCTCGAGCCTGTCAGACCGAGAGTCAGGTGAGTATCTCCACCTCAGCATTTGAGGGGGTTTGCAGGTAAAGGGTATGAAGGCTGGGGCCAGGTGGGAGGGCATCTCAGCAGGCACTGGGCCCAGGCCCCCCACCCTGGCTTGTTCTGGTCACGCTGCACGCCCTCCCTCCGCCAGGAGGGTTCCCGGGTGGAGCTCTCTGGCCTTATAGGTCTTGGCCCCCGGTGGCATGCCTGTGCCATCGCCAGGCCCTGCGGGGCCTCCCAGACACAGGCCCATGCCCCTATCCCTCTCTGCCCCCAGCAGCCACCTCCCCACCTGTGTGTTTTCAGGGTTTCTACTCCTGCATCCCCCTACAAGAGAACATGAAGACAGTTTGAAACTAGTGTCCCCTCCCCCACGTAACTTCCTTTGATAAAATATTGGGGGGGAATGAGGTTATAGAAGGAGATGGGGAAGCGATTCAAATCCTGTCTCAGAAACCCATCCCTGCAGCTGGGGGTCTGACGCAGAATTGTTCCCACCTGGGTGACCCTGTTGGGCTTCAAGTATGTTTTCAGGGTGTGAACACGCCTTGGCCGACCGGGCAAAAATGCCGCATTGATGCCTCTTTACTCGGTTGCAGGTGCTGCCTGGAGGGCTGGGGAGTGGTCTCCGTGCTGATGGGCACCTTCATCTTTGGGCAGAGCACGGTGGCGGCCATCTGGGAGCTCTTCTGAGGGTTCTCCCGGTGGCCATCTGTGTCCTGTCGTCAATGTCTCATCGTGCCACTTCATCATGGAGGTGCTAGAGACTGATAACTTATCTTCTGAGGTTGCTTGTTTGGGCCTCTTCATTCCAGGAGTTTCTGGTGCAGTGGTGAGGAGAGGGGAAACCGCTGTGGGCTGTATAACACCCACCACTGCTTTACAGCAACAGAAACGTATTCTCGTGGTTTAGATTGGGTTGTGGGCAGAAGCCGCTAACCTTGCTGCTGGCTTCTGGCACCCCTTGGCCGGTAGCTGCCTCCCCCGGCTTCTGTTTGCTGTGTGTCTGTCTAAATAGCTCTTTTCTGAGGACACTGGTTGAATGCTGACCCCAATTCAGCTAAACTGAGACCTCATCTTACTTTCATGTCTGCAGAGATTCTCTTTCCAAACAAGGTCACAGTTGTGGGTTCCAGGAGTTAGGGGACACAGTTTAATCCATAATAGAGGGTGGGACTGAGACTCAAGATCCCTATTGTGGGGTGTCGCGGTCAGAGTTGGAAGGAGAGGTCACCCCCACAGTGGGTAGGACCCCCAAGCAGGGTGGTCCTGAGCCAGGCCTCAGAGAATGCTGAGGCCTGTCCCTACCCAAGGACAGTCATGCTCACGGGTGGCCACACAACCTGTACTTGGCCCACATTCCAGAGCGGGGCACATGTGAGCCCCTTTCCCTCCCACTAGCTGGGCTGGCAGCCGAGAAGCCAAGGGACTGTTTGCTCTGTGACTTCAGGCTCCTCCCAAGTTGAGGAGGCCTTGGCCAGAGGTGGGGAGAAGCATGGGGTGGCGCCCCTGTGCTTCTACCGCTTGTACACGGACCCTGGCCTGGGCCATCCTGGATGCTGCTGGATTTACTCCCTCTCTGGAGAACCCCCCAACCCAACCACCCCCCACAGTGGTGACGCTGCAGCCAGGAGGCGCGGATATCTGAGGACACCTCCCTTGAGGTAGGTCACGGCCAGGTGGGTGTGTGGCGATACGACTGCTTCCTTGTCTTTTCCCCCTCAGGCTGAGCCTTCAGGTTTTTTTTAAGATTTAATTCACATTTTTTTAATTTGTATGAAATCACTTTCAGTGTAAAATTCAGGTGGGTTATAGCAGCTGGGCAGAGCCGTGCAGCCATCAGCAGTCTGACTTGAGCCCAACGTTTAGAAGGAAACTGGGGAAACTACAAGAAATTAGAAAAGGAAATCTAAGACTGGTCAGGCTCCCAGGAGGGGAAGAAAAACAGGAGTTGCAACCGTATTAACGGAGAAGGAGACCTGCCTAAGGGAACAAGCACAGGACACCTACATTCTTGCATCTGCACCCAGGTAGTTCTTGTCAGACCATCAAAAATCAAAGACAGAACAAATTTTTTTTAATTATGGACCACAACTTCCTAAGCCATATTGTGTAATCAGTCCTCAAAGAAAGGTGCCGTTGTGCTTTAAATTTCACATTTGAATTGATGTACATTGATCTTAAATTGTACACACATAGAACAGCTTCATGGACTTGCTTTTAATACAGTGGCTTTCTGAAATGAGTTAGAGATGTATCTGAAGTTTCTACTTTTATCTATGCTTCAGGTAAAGCAAACCCCTCATGCCCATACCCCACCTGCCTCCCCTGCCAGCCTTCCCCCGTTCTCTGGTAACCATTGTCTGAATTCAAATTTTTATTTCATCTATTTGCATGTAATTTTTTTGTATTCTACAGATAACTGAAAACATCTGTAATCTATCATGTTTTGACTGATTTCACACAACATCATCACCTCAGAGCCCATCCATTTTGTTCCAAATGCTACCTTTTCTTCAAAGGTGTAAAATATTCCTTTGAATAAATGCTTCAGTCGCCGTGCTGCGCCCTGGTTGGTGGGGTAAGTTGAGGCGAGGCCAAGGGTGGCGCTTTCATAACAGACTGCAGCGTTTTCTTCTGCCTGTTGACTACCACTAAGGGACTGAAGCATGCATTAGAGGTGTGCTAGAAAGTAGTTTTTGAGGGGTGGGGGTTGTCCTTTATTCACACAGCAGGAGGATACATTCTTTTGTGGGCATATTTTGAAAACAGCTGTATACCAAAGTTTCTAGAAAATAGGGGACTTCCTCTTGAAGAGGCCAAGGGCTTGGGGAGCAGGACTTCAGGATGATGATCAGTCTCGGCCCACTGTGCACCACACAGCTGGGGGGGACAGGAGAGATGCTCATTAACTGGGTCCTCGGAGGTGGCAGCAAGGACTGCCTATAAGCACGCCCACTCCCCTCAGTGGTTAAAGCCCTTTGGGGCGCCCAGCTGGTGACCCCATGCTTGGAGAAGCAAGCTGGACCTGGCGGGGTATGCAGGGTTCAAGCATAGGGCCTGCCTGTGACTAGGGACTCCTGGCTGCATCTTCTGAGACGTCCCTCTGCCCCTCCCTGTTCGGTGGCTACAACCATCTTCCGTTTCTGGGACTTTCTGATGCTGGTCCTACCTGAGCACCCTCTGAGTCTGCATCCTCACATGACTTTGTTCAGGGAGCAAAGGGTAGAGGTGCTCAGACGTGGCCTGCTGTCCACTCAGCCATCTATCCCTGGGGCAGGGGTTCTACCTGGCACTGAGATCCTGGAGAGGGCCTCGGGCTGGCTCAGCGTGTCCACCTTGACATGCCGGAATGCCTTGCACACAGGGCTCTGCAGGTGCCTGCAAGCGGGGAACCCCGGTTAGCTCTTGGGGCTGAAGGTGGTAAGTCTGAGAGTCCAGTTTCACTCCTGGGCCTGCCCAGGGTGGGGTATCACCACCAGGCAGATGGGCTGAGTGTGAGGATGCGGGTCTCTGGGAGGCTGTGGCAGGTTGGGGGACAGTGGTTTCCTGCCCTTCAGTGGGGGAAGGACTGCAGCAGCTCAGGCTCCAGCACACGCCCCCTGATGGACCTTGTCCCCCATGTGGGCAGCAGAGCACTCCTGGCGTCCAGCCGTGCCTTCTCGGGGCGCATCTGAAGCCCTGAGGTGGAGGTGGCATGGCCTGAGCAGCCCAAGTGTGGGCAGTGCTGGCTGGGGCTCAGGAGCACCTCCGGACCCCTGCAGGAGGCCAGACCCCAAGGAAGGAGCTGGGTTTGGTGGCAATGGGACCCCGTCCCTAGAGCAGCAGTTTTCAGACGGGCTCAGACGCCCAGGCTGACCAGGGACTGGACCAAGGCCCAGCCGCCTACAGGGAGGGTCACTGACAGACACGCCCACCCCTGGGTCGGGGGCCTGTGAAGTATGCGGGGGCGAGGTGGCCCACCCAGCACCCATCACCTCCCCAAGGGGGCTGGCGCTCTGGGGCCTACCTCTTCCATGCCGCCTCGGTCTCCCAGAATTCGTACACGACAAAAGTGGAGCCATCCGCGAGCCTCACGGCTGTGACGCTGAGGGAGAGGCCCAGTGAGTGTGGCGCCCAGGTGCCCTCCCACAGACTCCCCAGGGAGACCACCTCCCCCCTTCTCTGGTCCCAGCAGGATGGGGTGGGCCCAGAGCCACCCGCCCAAACCCTGAAAGAGCGCCCACTGGCCATCACACTGAGGTGCTCCTAGGTTGCTGCTGCCCTCGGACAGAAAAGTTCTGGTGCCTCCAGAACAGTTCATAGCAGCTCACTGGAGCAACGATTTCTTGAAAAAACCGTACTGCAAATCGCCCCCCTGCCGCTAAGGCCCTGCTGTGGCAGGCCAGGGGAGAGGGCCTCTGGTGTACCCTGGCGCAAGCTCTCGGGCCTCCACTCGCCATGCCCTCCCCAGCCGCCACACTTGTACGTGGCACCCCCACTTCCGCATGGCTTCAGAGGGCCTGCGTAACACCCTGGCCCTCCCCAGCTGGCTCAGCACCCTGCACCACCCTCCACCGGGGACCTGGTGCCGAGTCTCCCACGCCTCCTCATTCGGCGCCAGCCAGCTGCTCTCAAGCCGGCCGCCTCTCCCGGCTGGCCTGTGGGTCCTGCTCTGCACCCCAAGCCTTCACCCACACAAGAGCAGCGAGGCCTTCCACCTGCTGACCTCTAATGTGGGGGTCCTGCCTGTTACCCCAGGTCTCTTCCTCCCAGCACCAGTCTCCCACCCCGGTGCTGCTCTCCCCAACACAGGGCCTCACTGTTGCCAGCTGCTGCTCCCACCCCCAATGCCCTTCCTCAGTTCCTGCAGCACCGCCCCCTCCCAGGGCACCACCTGATACCCACAACAGCAGGGCTGGGGCCCCAGGAAGGACGGCTGTGCCCGCCAGGGAAAGGCCCCCTGGGGCCGAGAGGGAGGCAGGAGTGGGGCACAGCCACTGAGCACCAGGGGGGGCCACTAAGACACGGCTGCAGGTGCCCCGCGCAGCACTTCCGGGGGCAGCACCGAGGTTGATCCCTGCCACACCGCCGAGTGGCATGCGCTCTGGCCTGAGCCCATCCCCCCGGGGACGCCGGGGGCTGGCTCCGCTCTCACCAGTCAGCTGCGGAGGGGGTGCCCAGGCTTGCACAGCCACAAGAACTGGCCCTTACGCACCTGCAGATGCCTCTCTGGAGTAGGGTTTGTTCCCGGTGGTGAGGCTGGTGCTGCTCTGCTCTTCCCCCACCACACCCCCCCCCAGGCCGAGCTGCCAGCCCCCCCACAGCCCCTCTGGCTTACTCACTGGAAGCAGCTCTGGGCCCCAGCAGTGCCCCGCAGGTACTGTCGCAGGGAGTCCAGAAACTCGTCCAGCTGCTCCGGGCACACGGCCATCTCCTGCCGGACCAGCTGCAGATGCTGCGGGGCCAGTGAGTGGACGGGGCACCTGAGGGCCTGGCTGCCACCTCACCCCCACCCCCCACCCCCAGCGAGGGTGCAACATGGACAGGCAGTATGTAGAAAATGAAACACCTCATGCCAGGCACGTCTTCCTGGCCTGTGCAAAGTGGCTAAGGAAGAACTAGAACTTTGAGGCAAACGCAGGAAGTGGCCCCACCTCACAGAAAGACGAGGGTCTGCAGGCGGAGGGCCAGGGCTGCCCCTCAGAGCTGACGAGGGCCATGGCCCGCAGACCTGCTGCTGGTGCATGGGGTCGCCCTGGGCCCCGCTGGCGTTAGCCAGAGCCTCGTCTCAAAGGCCATCCGTGAGGGTGCCCGTGGCCACCTGCTCGGGAGTCTGGCCCAGGCGGGGAGGAGCCCACAGCAAAGGAGTGGACAGGGGCCCGAGCCTCACCATGTTAGTCCCGTCTTCATCCGACAGGCGCTGCTGCAGGTCAAACCAGACGGTCTGAAATCACAAACATGTGCCGAAGATGATGGGCCTCACCACACACACAACCCGGAGGTGATGGGCCTCACCACACACGCAACCCGGAGGTGATGGGCCTCACCACACACGCAACCCGGAGGTGATGGGCCTCACCACACAC